CGACGATTAAAAAATAAAAATACAACAAAATAATTATTTTTCACTTAATAAACTAAATTGTGTACTAATATAGTAAACACACACACACACGCACACACTCTTTCTCAAGGACTGTTTTGCTACACCTTCAGAAAATAAAAAGCTGGAATCTCCCATGAAAATCTAATTCATCTAAAACCTTCCCTGAAATAAAAACCCTTCATGATCGACACTTACTCTCACACACACATACACACAAACAGGGATTGAAACAAAAAGAAGTGTAACTGAAACTAAAAACAATCTTTGTGTTCTCACATCTCATTTCTGCTTTGCTGCTATACAAATTAAGTCGTCTTCATACCAAACGGACTCCATCTATAAAACTGACACTTCCATTATATTATTCATTTATTTATTTATTTATTTTTACACCACAAAGTAAGTCATTAAAGTATGTATACTTGTAGTTTTTAAAAATGGGTCATTAAGCTATTTTACTATGTGTGTGCCTTTGTATTTTACTGAAATGCACCTGTGTGTATGTTTGAGGGAGACTGTGTGGCCATCTGTAGTGCATTGTGTGTGTGTGTGTGTGTGTGTGTGTGTGTGAGAATGTTCAGAGGAGGAGGCTGTGCCCTGCACTCCTTGGGAGAGGCGTGGGAACCCCATTCATCTTAGGAGCCAGGGTTCATTGTGGGGTACACAGCATCAAATGTGTCTGGTTGTTTGCCTGTGTGTGTGTGTGTGTGTGTGCGCAAGATGTTGTGTGATGGTCTTTATATTCGCTTTCTGAATGTCGTTTACTTTTCTAATGTTTTGTAATGACAACATTTCGATTACAAGCTTACGATGTTACATTCGCATTTACAGTAAATATTTAAACAAAAAATATTTACTTGCTTACAGGAATCACGGCAGGAACAATTAATGGCTCTTCAAACATAAGAAAACAATGTGCGCTGCATTAAATCGCTCAAAAAACTACAATTTACTGACAGATTTGCAAGGGAAAAAAGTAATGCTTATCAATTTCAAAAGCTGGCCAGGATTGCTTCCTTCATTTTCCCCAGATGAAATATTATTTACAGACTTGGCAATATCTTGTGGACATGTACTGTACAACGTACGATGTGCGATGAAATAAAAAAGACCTAATAAATAAGGAGTTTTTTGCGTATACAAAAAGCAAAAGAAAATCGCTAGAAAAATATTTTGATATGTTTCCAAACGATAGTTTTCAAGGCGCTAAAAACATTTTGAAGCGGGCTTCTCTGTATTTAGACAGGACAGTGGATTCCAGTGCTTCCTCACACAAATATATTGGATTGTACTGTGTTTCTAGGAAATGTGTGTTCATTAGAGTTAAACAGAGAATGTAGGAAGGTAAAAACAAACAAAAAGTCCGAGCAGAAATGAGAAGACCGCCATATCCTGCATCTGACTCCTGCAGTTTTCACTGCTACACCTAAAGAGTAAATGTGTCTAAATGCTGCTATATAACTCCTAATTTCACCTGACTGAGGGTCTGAAGAACAGGGATTGGATGCACTGAAGCGACGTCAGGATTTCCTGTCAGTGTGACAGTGATGGAGGAGTTTAAGCCAGGCTCAGTAGTGTGAGAGTGGCGGTTGAATAGGCCTGTCAAACGTAGGATGTAGGTGGGATGACTAGAGCTATCTGTGATGACTCACGCTGCCTCCACTCCTACCTTTTGGTCATGGTCGACTCTGATGTGCTGAGGTGTTCAACGTGGAGTGATATCGATTTAAAATAAAAAATACAATTTTAAAAAAGCAAGATTTTCAATTAGCGAGCTTTTCAAAAACTGATTTATGGATGATAATTAAAAGATGCCAAGTTGAATGGCACTGCTGAGGGGTGTGGCGCACTCAGTGTTTTAATTATGTGGAAAATTTAATATAATACGGACAAAATTAGAGCCGATATTCATCGTCATGGATGAAGTAGCAGTTGTAATCAGGTAATAATAATATAACCTTTTTAATTTCCTTTAAAAAGCAGAGCACTCTACTACAGTCAACATGTACCTCTCAAACCGTGTGCGTTTACAGTTTAATCAAACCATAGTCTGTAACCGAGCGAACGAGGGCGAGCTTTAAATCTTAATGGAGTTTTTTTTAGGAAAAAGTTTTTGTTTTAATAAAGCGTTATAAACGATGTGTCCAAAAAGGCCTGTTTGAGCCATATTAAAGCTACGTGGGGCCACGTGTCAGCACTGACCCATTTTCAAATATTTAACCTTTACTTCCAGGGAATAAACTAGGCACATATTCATTAAGATGAGGTTTTAATAGCAGAGCTCAATACGAGTGGCGTTTAATCATTTTCTGATAGACCTGAGAAGAGGGGGAGAGAGAGAGAGACAGACAGACAGAGGGAGAGAGGTAGAGATAGAGAGAGCATTGTGGTGGGGCTCGGCCTTGTGTAGCAGGCCTTCCCTGGCCATCAGCCCAACATTACAGCACTATTCCTTCTCTGCTCCCTCCAAAAAAGCATTTCTCTCTGTGAAACACACGAAAGGCCGATCCGGAGTGCTAAAGTACAGGTAGGAATGCACCAGAGAAGAGATTTGCTCAGTTTTGTCGAAATTTCAAAGCCAATGCCACGTTTCTAACCAGTTTGACTATATTTAGTTAAGCCTGCTCTCACTGGATAGTCATGTAGCCCTGGAGGAAACAACACCCAGACACAATGTTCATACACACTAACGTGGTGGTCAGGTCACACGATGCGGCTCTCCACATTCGTTATGTCTTCATCTTTTGACAAAAGAAAACCACTGCATGTGTGCAAGCACCACACACCTAAGTATACACACACACACACTTACCTCCACACCCACACACTCTCTCTCTGACTTACCCACTGAGACTTTGAAGTAACTGTCCCACACCACAGCAATGAGCTATCCTGGATGAAGCGGCTGTGCTGGACCCATCCGTGGCTGCACACAGTATGTCCACATATCCTCTCTGTAGAGAAGGGCAGAGAAGGAGCTTGGATTCAGTCACACAGCTTTGCACTCCCTGCAAGAAGTAGGCGGGCACGCCAACGACAGACCCATTCAGAGTCCCAGAAAGTACCAGCCTCCGTGTCTGCCTCAGCGCCTTTCCTACAATGTCTGTCCGCGCCTCTGCCCGGGATTTGCCCGCGATAATCTGCCCACTTCACCCCAAACCCGTCTCTGAGCGTTGGGTAACCTCCCTAACCTGAGCTAACGGCTTTCTAATATTTACAAACCAGCTCCTCTCGCTCTCCCCTGTCTGCCAGCTCCTTGTCTGAGACTGTCAGGGCCGCCACAATGGAGAGGCCATGTGGGTTTCCCATGGAGTCGCGTGTTCCTCCCGTCTGGCAGTTAACAAGGCTTTGAATGAGGAATGTTAGCAAACAGAGCTGCTGAATGTCGGATGAATGCTAAGCCAGGCAGCCAGTCAGATCGCAGCGCTGGCCCGGGCATATGAATAATGCAGAAAACTCGGCAGGGAGGAGAGGAGACAAGGCTCCACCTCCCTGTGCCCCTTCCCAACTCCACCCACCCCTCCTTCTTTTCCCCGCTCGAAACTCAAATGCCTTCACGGGAGCAAGAGAGCCGAGAGAGGGGGGAAAGAGAGAATTCAAGATCTCTGCTGCTATTCACTCATGCAATTAAAAAAAAAACCTGCAAGAGAAGAATAGTTACACATGCACACACATCTAATTACTACAAATCAGTTCTTTAAATACACCACTTTTCCCTCTGTCGTTGGGATCTATCACTCTCTTTTTTCCTTTTTTTTTGTTTTTTGTGCCTTTTGTTTGAAATTGGCACCTGTCCCAGAAAAAGCCCCGCTGCTGCTCCGCCCTCCTGCTCCCCTTTCACTGGAGACTGCCCACGAGATCGAGAGCGAGCGAGAGAGAGAGAGGGAACGTGAGGAAGAGAGGGTGGGGCAGAAAAAACCAAAAAAGAGGGACAGGTTTGGAGATGGAAAGGGTTAGGAAGGTAGAGGGCAAAGCAGATAAGAGCACAGGAAAACAATAAGGAATTCAATTTAAGACCCAGGCGCGAGACACATGAAATCGAACAGCACATAAAACAAACTGCAGCCTTCATACTCAGATTCATCCAGGAAAAAAAAATCTGACATGTTGAGCAATCAAGAAACATGCTGAAGGAAAAAAAAACAAAACAAAACAAAAAAAACCTTTGCACCAACGCTAGGGCACGGCGCAAAACTCCCAGGTCCAACAACCCAGGCGAGGGAAAAACGTGATAAAACTAAAAGCGCGTGAAAACAAGGATCTGAAAAATGCCCTTGCAAATGGCGCAGCAATGTCGAAGTAGGAGTAAAGCAAAGCCACTTGTTGCATGATATTGAGGAACAGATCTTGCAGGGAGAAGTGAGAGCAGGCAGAGGGTTAAAATCCTGGGACTGGGAGTAGTAAAAAATCCCTCCCTCTTTTGGCACAGACTAGCTAAAGGGGAGGGCCTGCCTGTAGAAATAGCAGCAGAGCGTTTTTCCCCTCTTTTTTTTTCAGAGCTGCAGCGTCCTAGTCTACCCTTTCGCATGTGGCCGGGACCCAGGGAGAGAGGAGGAGGAGGAGAGCGATGGATAGAAAAAGAAGCAAGAGCAAAGAGAGAGAGAGAGAGAGAGGGGAGGGGGTGAGAGAGGAAGGGTAGAAGAGCTGTGAGTGGAGGAGAAAGAGCTCAGCTGATGATGAAACAGGGACGTGTGGGAGTGCGTGCGCACTACGCGTTTTCATCACAGACCCAGTGTGACGTGCGCATGCACGAGGCAGGGTGGGGAGGGAGCTGAGCTGGGCTACGGGGCGGGGGGGTGCACTTCTGCTGAGGACGAGAGTCACAGCAAACACTCACAAATGATTAAAGGATACTAGGACAACTTGCAACACCTAACTTTGAGACTGGAGGGAAAGATTAATAGTGTATCTTTTCTTTGCAGAGCTGCTGGGCCTTTCAGTTTAATATCAGCCATTTGGCTTTGACCCACACGTCTTTATCACTAAACTCCCAGCTGGCACTGAAGCAATGGCGTTCCCCTAGCGAAGGCCAAAAGTGTAGGCTATGATCAGTGATGAATATCCTTTTGATTACTGCTTGATTTTTTGGGCTTTTTTAATGCTCAATCATTAACATGTAGGAAAGCTACATCAACTGTTCTGGCACGCAATCAAAGCCAGATAAGCACCTGGATGCGACTGCCCCACCATGATTGCGGCATTGAACCACGCTGTAAAAATCCTGGAATATTTACCGCAGTGCGCCCGCCATGTGCCATTACTAGGCCACCCTCGCCTTGCAGCGAACTGCAGCAACAGCAGCCGGTTCTGCGTGCGACTAAGGAGAGGAGAAATGTCGGGCAGTAACCGAACGATAAAATGGACTCTGTTGATGACTCTGCTCGTGTCCAACACCCTCCTTCCCCCTCCGCATCGAGTCTATTCTGTCTCCCACCCTTTCTTGTCCTTTCGGTAGCACTGTTCTAGCCTACAGTAATAAACAGCCCTGTTCTGAACAGCTAGTGTTAATTTAAGCCTGCATGAGAAGGATCTTTTTTTTTTTTACGTTTTTGTGCCAGATACTACCCCTGCTGTCTTCCTCTCTCCCCTCTTCTCATGCACACCTACCAACCTCTGGATCAGCATGCTGAAGGTTATTCACACCCGTCCGGTTTCCACCCGACTTCCCTCCTCAAAAACTTTTCTGGGCAGCCAAATTGTTGTAATGCCCCGTAACTGTTTGCAACAGATTCCCCCGTGGCAAAGAAACAACTTCCTCCTTTTTGGACACCATTCCCCTCCCCTCTAGTCTTCGCTTTCCCAAAAGAAACCCAGAACTCAGCACAGACAAATTTTTTCCCCTTTTTCTCTCCTCATAGCAGCAGCCATACAAAAGAGAGAGGTGGGGGGACTGTCCAACAAAACGACGAATCTCACATCATGAAACACAGCTAGCTAGACTCCATGTCAATCTGTGTTTATGCTCGGGGATTCTAAAGAGGACTAACATGAATTTAAACAAATGAAAGCTGGGAAAACATCAGTATTTCCCGAATTTTTCAATACGTGTGGTGTTTTGGTTGTTTGTTTGTTTTTTCATTTTAAACAGGCGACAAGTAGATGAAAAACAGCGAGTATGAGCAACACAAGCGCAAACTAATATGGCTGCTTGCTTACTTGTACCGACCCTGCACTCTCAGTCCTGGAGACTGAAAGAAAAGGCGTTACGCTGCTGTGTTTGCGCCTTTTCTACCTCGCAGGACGGGCTTGGAGAGAGAAAGAGAGGGAGAAAGGAAGCGAACGGGTGCACTTGCCTTGCCAAGCTCTCTCCTCACCTTTCCACACAGTCAAATAAAAACTCGGCTTCCCTGTGTTGTGTGTACTACTGCTGCACCATCCGCATTTCAATGACGCACAATGTGCAAACTCGTGAAAAATGAGGAGTGAGATTACTCCCGAGGTTCAACGTGAAGCAACTGGTGATTTAAATGCACTTTATCAAAAAAGCAATAAATTCCCTCGTGGGCATTGATGAGCAAAAGCCCGGTCGAGCACCAAACGGCGATCAGACTGAACCCTGTGACGTCACATCTCGCCACGTCTTTGAACCAATTGCTCTCGCTGAAATCATTAAACGCTGTTACGAGTGCCTGCTGAATATATATCAAGCACTATTGTAGACAAACTCGTGTTTCATCTGGAATCAGAAGAGTCCCTTTGCTCTTTATCTTCGATCTAAGATACTGTTACTGCAAGTCAGTTGTTTACCATCTAACATGTGGCAGGAATTCAAAAAACTTGGCAGAGCCTGTTGCACCGTACGTCGCGGAGAGTTCATTTGAGGATACAGCTCTGGTTTTGGCTCAGCTGCCAACTTCTGACACTGTAGCCCTCTGCACGGCCTCGCCCCTGCAGGAGTGGCCTGCGTAATGCTGCCATTGATGAAACTCCAATATTAACAACCTCCTTTATGACATCTCCACGAGTCTACAACCGCTTTTTTCCCCCCTTATCAGCTCCCTTCATCTCGTTAAAACTGAGCTGCACTCTGCCTTACAGCACACGTAACGTCAGGGTGTAAAAGCATTGTTAACATTTCATATGCGTGCAAGTGCAAGAGAACAGAAGCTTTACCGCACAGTCTTACATATTCACAAAAAATCAAATAGATGCAAAAGAAAACCGAATACAAACATGATCAAATAACCCAACCACAAAAAAGTGACAATACATGTGTCATGGTTGCAACACAGAGCCCAAGTCTCAGTGAAAATGACTTATAACTCGTGAGGAGCTCAAGCAATTAAGTCGCTGACTTATCAGCCCCCGAATGTCTTCACATCTTTATGAATCATCCCACAAATTTACTGCAACAAACCAGCTGATCAGCACACACACAGTATAAAATTTACAGCACGCCGACACTGCTCGATGCTGCACTGCCCCAGGGCAAGCAACGCACACATGCACAAAGTGAAATTAACTCAACCACAATATTTTTGATAATCACTGCTGGCGACTTTACAGGACCATATGAGTACAAACAAATCGCAACATGAACTGCAATTAAACAGCCAACAAGTAGTTGAGAGAAATCTCAGCAGATCAAACTGAAATTCATCATTAAGCACAGCAATAACTAAAATAAATAAATCTATTATCCGCTTTTTAACCAAAAATATTTTTTCTTCAGAGTATTACGTTTCGCTGTTAGTTAGCGAAGAATTAATGGGGTTAATTAGAACCACCTGGGATTGCCAGTAAAAAGACATATGACCCTCTGAGGGATCTACTTCTGTGACTGCACTGATGGGTTGCGCTGAAAAAGACCAACATTTGGGTATTTTTTGTATGTCAGAGATGTTCTTCTGAAGGGTGAAAAAGTCGCACAGGAGATCTATGTTTTACTGTGAACTTGAGAGTTATAGCTGTCTACACATTCACACCCTGGCGAACTTACACAAACTGTCCCTCTTTCTTCGGCGGCCGGCGCGGCGGGCCCGCTCCCTCTACAAGGTGGTCCGTCGAGGGGCCCCTCAGCAGCACGTGCCTCAACAACTTCTCTATTACACCCGTGACCCTAAGGTCAGGCTCTTGAGGGTTCTGAACAAAGGCCACGACCCTAGGGTCAGAAGTGTAACGCCAGGGGCAGGTCAGGGCCCCACAGCAAAGAGAGCGTGCTGTTTGCTTTGAAAGGTAAGGATCACTAACACACAGGCCTAATAAGGATTAAGGGGCCATCCCCTTTGGGATGTCACTTTGGGGCCTCAAACATCAGTCTCTATTAACCTATGTGACCCCCGGTGGTCATTATAAGGCTGTAGGTCACAGTCACTTACGCTGCACATCTGAAAAACCTAAAAGCTTTAACTTGAGTGCTGCTCATTATATGTACAAATTGTTTTGACAGATTAACACCTTGTCAATAGGACTCAGTCCTTGTTGTGAGGAGCTGTGCCTGTGCAGGTAACTTGTTGCATCAGCTGGCAGATTCTTCAGAAAAGGTCCTTTAAGGTGAAAAGCAGTAATTCAGCATCAGGTCAGCTGACAGAAAAAAGAAAAACAACAACAACCTGACAGGTCATCCCAAAATGTAATGTATAACTGAAAATCATGTGAGTACAGCTGATTTTTCTTTTTTCGCCTCATGCAAAGCAGGCTCAGAGCACTCGGTAAAACTTTAATAAAAGCAGGTAGGCCAGAACTGAGGGAGAAAAATTACAAAATGGAGGACAGGAGGAGACAAGATGGCGGCCCGAGTGATGCAGCCACCCGCACACTCCTTGTAACGTGTCAAATCGCCATAAAAACGTTGTATTTTGTGCGATCTCTCTCGATGTGTTGTTTTTTCATTTTTTAAAACCAATTTAAACATTTGTCAAAACAGAGACGACTTAAGATGCTTCAAAAGATCTGAATTCATTTTAGTCACTTTGGGAACTGAAAGTCACAGGATTAAATCCGGTGATGTCCAGGACAGCAAAGGCGGAGAGGAGACATAACGTACGCTTTTTCATTAAGATTCATTCGTTCATGTCGGATTTAAAGATTGCCTTCTTAGTGCTCAAATCACACTAAAGCATTTCAGTTGCTTTGAAATTTATATAATATAAATTAACTTTAATTTTTTTACCGTTACAATGAAGAAAAGAGGAAACTACTGAATTATTTATTTTTTCATAATATATTTAACAAACAGTGTTTGTAAAACAGGAAAAGATAAACGAACATAAGGATAAACACACACACGTTCACATCATTTATGCAAAACTACTAGTTTTAATATATTATATTATTCAGTATTGTTAAGAGTAAAAACATAAAACACATTGTGGGCGATTTCTAATTGAATGCGAACCAATACAAGCAGATTTCACTCCAGATTCAAATAAAAAAAGGAGCTAAATTCATTCAGGGGTCTTTTTTTTCACTCCCAGATTTTTTTAATGCAATTTTATTAATTAACTCAATTTATGGATTAACTTGAAATGTGACAACCGCTCAAATTTAAATTCTACATTTACAGGTTGCATGATGACACTTCTTCCCCAAATTGAAGCCTGGAAAAGGACAAACTTTTATT